AAAATTACCTGCCAAAATTACTTTCTAAAAAAAACATTGTTATTATATAAAATAAAGGTTTGAATCTAGATAATGACTTTCATTTTATATAATTCTAAACTAAATTTCCAAACATATCAACTTGCACTATATAAATACAGAGTATTACATATTTAAATAATTTTTTATCATATGTTTGCGGTGTTTTAACATATTTCATGGGCTTTAATACTTGATCAATCGTTTCTTTTCTTTTTTTTGTGTGTAATTGTTACTTCTTATATTTTTTATTATAATTATTCAACATCCGTGCAAATGCACGGGATTTAACCTAGTTAAATATTAAGAGTTAAAATTGTGCGTCGATAGGCATGTAAATCACCTTTAAAAAAAATAAAAATAAAAAAAAAATAAAAAAGGCATGTAAATCAAAATGTACCACTTAAAATTTTGAAGAAAAACAACATTTCGATTTTGGGCCACTTTACTCTTCACTCCACTTTTTCTATGTTTAACCAATGATCATCCCCTATATTCGAAAAATTGAACCATTTTTACTTGAAAACGGAAAAGAATGATATTAGTAAAACCATATGACAATATAAGTAGTATAGATTTAAAATAACTCGAAATGAACATAAACTTAATGAAGATTTTGTTTGGAGTGAAAATTTTAAAATGGACGACACCAATACTAAAATCTTGGCATAATAGCAAACATCAATGAAGATTTCTGTACAAATGTACAATATAGGTCATTGGTTTCAATCCTCAATTTAGTTGTTTCAAAAAAAAAAAAAAAAAAAAAAAAAAAATTATCTTTGGTAACACTCAGTTTTCACCTTTTTTTTTTTTTTTTTTTTTTAACAATCGAGCGGGATATTATTAGATTAAATCAATTTTCGCCAAAGTTATTATCAGGGATAAGCTTGTAATCATGTATTATAGTTATTATATTAATTATAGCATTAATGACATTAAAACCCAATTATTAAACTAACAACTCTTAATCATGGTTAACAATAGATGGAGTTACACAAATACCCTCAAAAAATTTCCCAAACCATCCTATCTAACACCTCCCTTTTAATAACCCAAGCTGACACATTTCCACCACCGTGGCCTTCATCTATCACCATCATCGCTTTAAATCAAAATGGCTATATATTTGTTGCACGAAGAAGGTGTTCGATGAAATGCCTATGAGAGATATTACTTCTTGGACTGCTTTGGTTTCTGAATTGGAGTTTACTTTTTTTTTCTGCCACTTCTCAAACGGAGGCTCTGAAGAGGGAATAATCAATTTCTAGTCCTACATTGACACGGAGAAATTGGTTTTGAAAGTCATAGACAACATATAGTACTGTGTAATGCAGTGACTGATGAATGCTTGATTCGTCGATAAAGCGTGTGATGAGTTTGGCAATTGACTAATTTGAAGTATACAGCAAATGAGTCTTAGCTTCAACACGGACGGGTGCTGGATTTTGGATTGAAGCAATTGAGTGATAGAGTATAAGCTGATGGTTGAGGCCCAGTAATACGTTTTATACTCTATCATTGAGCGTCAAGCACGAATGGGTCATATGACTGATTGAGCGCGCAGTTTACACTGCAGTGATTGAGCGCGGAACATGGACTGCTGATTAAAAGAAACAGCTCTTAAGGAGCTTGATTAAAATAACACCACACCTTGCAGTTTTGTACTGGTTGTTGCATAACATAATATCCTGCTATTCATTAATTTAATTGATATCAAGTCTATAATAATATTCACAAAAAAATTAGTTTGCTGTGAAGAGACATTGTGAAACAACCCTAAGGAAAAGCATGTTATCTCTCTGAGTTACATTTATATTTTTGATTCCTTCTGTCTTCTAGTATCCTGGTATAAATAGAGGCTTCAGAATGAGATATCCAACAACTCAAAACTTCCATCTTTCAACTCTTAAGTCTCTTAACAAAACTAAAAAAGAATATCTAAAATGGCTTCCATCCATACTCGATCTTTCAGTTTCCCCTCAAACTCTCACCCCGTTTCTGAGCAGTTGGATCAACAATTGAACAGATTGAGGTCTTCTCAAGCTGCTTCTACTTCATCCTTGACCACCAAACTTAGTGGCCTAAATGATTTATACAAGTGTGTTGAAGAGTTTCTTCAACTACCCCAAAATCAAAAAATCGTGTCTCAATCTCAACAATTGTTGGATGGATCTCTAAGACTCATTGACATTTGCTCAACATCTCAGGATGTCTTGGCAGTGTCAAAGGAACAAATCCAAAACATTCAATCAGTTCTTCGAAGAAGGTCCAGCGGTGAACTTGACATTACCAATGAAGTCGCCGAATACCTAAAAACAAGAAGAGCTTCCAAGAAGACAATCAAGAAGTGCTTGAAAGATATGAATGCAGTTGAGCCCGTTGCCATTGAGAGCATTCTCAAGGATGTGCAAGCATTGACTGCTGAAGTCTTTAACTCTTTGTTGTCTTACATCGGCGGATCACAGAAGAGTAGCTGGTCTTTCTTTAGCCAAAGATCTGAGAAGAAAGCAGCAACTTCCTTTGATGCTGTTGATGCTATTCTTGTGAAGAAAGTGAATGTTGATATGTCACAACTAGTAAATTTAGAGTCAGAAATTCAACAAATTGACGAAGTTTTGGAATCCTTGTTTAGGCATTTGGTGAAGACAAGATCAACTCTTCTCAATGTCCTTAGCAACTAGAACAGAAATTTATCTCTGTACAAAAATTTTTGATACTTGAACATACTATACAAATGAATATACGATACGTACAATTCTCTCTAATTTTATCTGTGTTCTTCAATTTTATTCTTTCAATCATTCTTTCAATCGTACCAAAGTTACTGCATCCTTGAAATACAAAGGGTAAAAAAATCTGAAAGTACGTATTGCATGATTTACTAAATTTTATAAAATACAGCAAGTAATTATCAGTTTCTGATATGAAATTATAGGGAAAAAAAAGTTTTTCTATTAGAAATAAATAAATTAAAAAAAATAATAATAATAAAAATACAGCAAGTAATTATCAGCTTCTGATATGAAGGTTAATTATCTGTTTATCACAAATTCACAATAATGACTCCATGTGAGGGTACGCGTTGAATCTACTAAAGAATGTATAGCTTATTAGCTGTTAATATTCCAGATGTCTGCTGGAAAGCTTGATAATTTATTGTGTGCATGAATGCATAAAATTGCATGGTCTCCTACAGTCAAGCACACCCCTTTATTCTAGGATCATACACACGAGTTCTTACATTTTTTAAGGGAAGGTGACGTTGAGATTCCTATATGTTCATCAAATTTTACTCGATCTATTTAAAAAACATGCTAATTGCTAACCATTAATTGATTTATTAGCTATCCTACTGATATATGGTTGTCATTTACACTCGTGCGTAGCTGTTGCTTAGGATCATGATGGACATACAGGGATCAGGATATGACATTGTATGTTAGATCAATATATGCAATCCTAAATGTCTTTAATTAGTGAAAATTATTTGTTAGAAAAAATGTACAAAAAGTGAATTGAATAAATACTAAATGTCTTTAATTAGTGAAAATTTGTGTCCTTTGGGACTCTTGCAACTTAGAAGAATCACCTCTCCTAAGCTAGAACTAAACATCGTCCTTCAACATGATGAACAAGTGAGGGTAGTAAGGGATCCAACCGAGGGTAAGTGTTTAGTATGTACTACCATGTTAACATCCTAGTTTTCGTTTTCAAAATGACTAGAGTAGTAGAGTTCATCCGAGCTATTACCTACTCTTCCTGAACTTCTTAGTCCTAGCTTGCTTGGCATGTAGATTTACGCCTTGGTTTGACCTAATTAGTTGATTGATCTGAGCCTGCTCAACTGTAGAGAATAATAAGGATGCCCTGAAGTCCAAACATATGTAATGTCATAAACTGCCACATTAAAATCTGATATAAGTTATTTAATAAATCAGAAACCTAAGGGTTCGTTTGACATTGCTGTGGTTTTCTGTTTTTTGGTTTTTTGTTTTCTAAAAGTATATGATATGTGTCCCATAATGAATCAAAAATTATACAAACTTATTAAAATTATGATAATTTTAAAAACTGACAACAGAAAAATGGAAACACCTTTTTCTTGTTTCCTGTTTTTGGTTTTCAAAAAAACAGAAAACTAAAAACCAAAACTGATGACAAACAAGCCCTAAACAATTAAACTCAGAATCAATTGTTAATACTACGAAATCATGCAATTATGCAAGCTAAAGCTATAAAAATGGAGAGAGCAGATAGAATCTTATAACAAGTGAAAGATAACAAGATTTTATTTATCTGTAAGGGTTTCTAAGGTTATTTTTCATATTTTCTCTTCTTACTCAACTTGCCAGCTAATTTATATCACGAACAATGCTTGGATTGATTGACTATTGATTTTGGATTGTACATATATATATTGATATAACATATAATGCCATATCCTGCACCCTGTACATCCAACATGATCCTAAGCAACAGCTACACACGAGTGGAAATGAACCGAGAATAAAGGAGAGTGCCTGACTATAGGAGACCATACAATTTCATGCATTCATGCACACCCTTACTACAATATATTTGAAGCACTCTAGCAGACATATGGAATATTAACAGCTAATAAGCTATGCACTCATAAGTCAATTCAACGCGTATCTTCACATGGAGCCATTCTGATAATCAACCTTCAATTAATCATAATCTCTTTTATTGGAAAATAATTGTATTTATTATTCCATTTTATTAATATTTCTTCAAAGAGACTTTTTTTTACCTTCCGATTTCACTTTAGAAACAAAGAATTACTTACAGAGTATAATACAGTAATTGACTTTTGTAATCATGCATCTTAAACCGTTAAATATTATTTTTACCATCTGTTTTTCAGGCTTCAAGAGTAACTTTGGTGCGATTGAAAAAATAATTGAAAGAATAAATTTGAAGAACACAAATATAATTAGAGAAAATTGTATGTATAGTATATTCATTTGTATGTATATTCACGGATCAAAATTTTTTGTACAAGTATAAATTTCTATTCTAGTTACTTAGGACATTGAGAAGAGTTGATCTTGTCTTCACCAAATGCCTAAACAATGATTCCAAAACTTCATCAATTTCTTGAATTTCTGACTCTAAATTAACTAGTTGTGACATATCAACATTCACTTTCTTCACAAGAAGAGCATCAACAACATCAAAGGAAGTTGCTGCTTTCTTCTCAGATCTTTGGCTAATGAAAGACCAGCTACTCTTCTGTGATCCACCGATGTAAGACAACAAGGAGTTAAAGACTTCAGCAGTCAATGCTTGCACATCCTTGAGCATGCTCTCAATGGCAACGGGCTCAACTGCATTCATATCTTTCAAGCACTTCTTGATTGTCTTCTTGGAAGCTCTTCTTGTTTTTAGGTATTCAGCGACTTCATTAGTAATGTCAAGTTCACCACTGCACCTTCTTCGAAAAACTGATTGAATGTTTTGGATCTGTTCCTTTGACACTGCCAAGACATCTCGAGATGTTGAGCAAATGTCAATGAGTCTTAGAGATCCATCCAATACTTGTTGAGATTGAGAAACGGTTTTCTGATTTTGGGGCAATTGAAGAAAGTCTTCAACTGATTTGTATAAATCATTTAGACCACTAAGTTTGGTGGTCAAGGATGAAGTAGAAGCAGCTTGAGAAGACCTCAACCTGTTTAATTGTTGATCCAATTGCTCAGAAACGGGGTGAGAGTTTGAGGGGAAACTGAAAGATCGAGTGTGGATAGAAGCCATTTTGATATTGTTTTTAAGTTTGTTAAGAGGCTTAGAGTTATAAGATTGAAGTTTTGAGTTGTTGATTATCTCATTCTTTTGGCTCTATTTATACCAAAGAAACAGAAGACAAAAGGAATCAAAAATTAAGTAAGACTCAGAGAGAACATGGTTTTCCTTTGGGGTTGTTTCACATTGTCTCTTCTCAGCTGGCCAACCAACGAGGCAACGAGTCGATCAATAGTGGACTTTCAGCTAATATCAATTAAAGAAAAGATATGAAGGATCCATTGTTCTACAACAACCAATACAAAATCTGCAAGATTCGTCTTATTTTAATCCAATACCTGTCTAATGTTTGTTAACTCCCAACATCTGATGCATTTTCTTTCTGTATCCCCTTGTTTAAGTGAAATCATGTGGTGATTAGCTAAGTTTTAGCATACAGTACTCTGCTATAAATTTAAACATCCTGATCCTTAAAACGCGCTAAACACGAGTGGAAGAGTTTAGTACCTATCTCACATATTATATATGCCGTAGAGAGTGCTCAAAGAATTGCTAATTGCTGCCATGCTCGCGCTCATTCACTGCAAACTCCATAACTCCATAACCATCCGTGTTCCCCGGAATAATACTCCTCTAACACCCAACATTGCCATTTGCCAAACACATAACGGTTTATGCGGCAATGAACTCACCTTCTCCATATATATCAATCACTACATTACACCCTGCAATGACCTTTATAACTGTCTAACTTATGCGCCTTAGTTTAGTCCTTGAGCTTATTTCTTCATCCAAGCCCTCGTTCGAGTGGACGCAGAGAAAGAACACGAAGCACGGAATCATCATCAGGAAAGCTGCCTACATCAAGTCACCAAACAACGTATCAAAGCGTTCCAAGCAATAAAGCGAATATTATTTCATTTAGGCATTTCATCAAACATCTTCTGTGCAACCATTTCAATCTCAGTTATTGGCTAGAGTACATCCACCTTAAACTCAGGTGACGGAATGCAACAAAGCAACCTCAATTCTCAACCGAGCGCATGTGTAGATTCCTTGAAGGTATAAGAGCCACGTGGTGACTGGTGAGAGCAGCAATTTGAGTAGTTTGGATTTTGGAATGGCTTCGAAAAGCCGAATTACGCGATATTGAAGGTTGGAAGTCATCTTTCAACCTTTATCATATAAAATATTTCTTTGTTGCAAATTACGAAGAATAAGAAACGAAAGTAGTATTGAAAACTGTGGTCCTCTAGTTGTGAAACTAAGCAAATTTGAGATATTTACCCAAAATTAGGAATTATTTGGCCTCGCGTTGGCTGGGTTAAGCCAAGCTTGGATTGCCCTCATATGTATGATGACCAAGTACAACTATGTACAAGACCTATGTTACTTGGACTCGAGTACCCATGTCCGACACGGGTATGTGTCCAAGTGTCTAACTCAGCTATTTGATAAAAAAATGACATGATTTTGAACTAAAAGTGAAGTGTCCGAGTGTCATATCCATGTCCAAGTGTCGAGGATCCGACACGGGTACGTGAAGTGAAATGAAGAGTTTGAGTAACATAGTACAAGACAGTACTAAGGGGAAAGTTGTGACATTGCTTCGTGCTCTTTTTGATTCCATCAAGGGGGCATGCACAACTCGTCATACCGAACTATGGAATTCATGTTTTCATGTTTTGGGAGAATTTGGTTTGTAAGTTTTTGGTATGAGGTATAGGGTTTACATACCTCATGTTTGTTTATGCTAAGAAAAATCTAATTTCTAAAACCATTTCTTAAACCCAAATGGTATGGGGTTTTGAAACTCAACAGGGGGAGGTATGTATGACTCATACCACAACTCCAGCCTCAAGGTATCAAACGAAAGGAAAATTTTCATTTTTGTACAACAATCAAACACAAGGTATTGAGAATTAAGTTCCAACTTCATACCACCCTAGTTTTATTCCTAATTTCAAACTCATACCACTTTAATTTGTGAACCTAAACGTTTCTAAAGAGTTAGGTCATCATGAAGTCGATCATGCCCTATGTGTACATGCTAATGTTGTGTGTATGAGCCAGCTACTCCGTACATTAAAAAAGTTAGCTAATGAGTTACTCCGTAAAATAAGCAGGTTGTCTCGAGGTACTACACTATATATCATATTTCAAAATTAATGTCCATGTATACATACCCTAAAATAAAAACGATGGTACTTTTTAATTATCATAAATAAATCTTTATTTGTATTTTATTTTTAAAAAAATCAAAAACCTCAAAAAGATTATTACAACTAACTCAATATGTAATAAGTACCATTATTCATTTTTATATTATAGTTTGAGCATGTACAACATCAACTTTTGAAATAATATTATAGGAATGTTACATTGGTTTTTTTTTTTTTTTTTTTTTTTTTTTAAGGGTCGTTTCATTCTAAGTGTTCAACTAAGTTGTCTTGTGGAAATTCTCCATGATTTTGATTTTTGCATGCCTAAATATTCTATCTGTATGACCATGTCTGAGTGTTAAAGATCCAGCACGAGCTATTAAGGTGAAATAAAGAGCTCGAATAACATATATATACTTCATATATTAAAAATGACTTGAACTACCAATCAATTTAAAAATCGTCTAATGATCCTCACAATAATATTCGATATCATATCCTGCTCCCTGTACGTCCATCATGATCCTAAGCAATTGCTATAAACGAGTAGAAATGACACATTTTATCAGTAAGCTAGCTAACAAATCAATTAATGATTTGCATTTTCTGTCAATTTTAAACGAATTGAACATAATTGCAAGCAAAGGAGCCTTAAAAATGTTAATGAACTCGTGTACATGATCCAAATTTGTAGGCGAATACCTAAATAATATACTTGTATACAACAAGAACACACATTTTTATCGACAGTCATACACGCCCTTATTACATTAATACTGAGTTTGTTGAAGCTCCTACAGACAATTAGAATCTTACAGCTTACCTTCACAGGGAGTCATTCTGATAATCGACCTTAATTATAGACTGTAATCCCTCCGTCCCTCAATTAGATTCCTACTTCTCTCTATTATGTGATGAATAAATGCTAGAAGAATTATTGTATTTTTTTAATTCAATTTTAGTTTTTTTGTTTTTCTCAAGGGAGGTTTTTTTTTATTTTCATTCATTGTGTTTAGAAAACAGAGAATTTCTCTGATAATTTACAAGAAATAACAAGTTAAATTTACTGATTTCTGTTTGTGGATTGAGTGAATCTTGTATCTCATAATTTGTATGATTAATGCGTAATTGAAAGTATAAAATTGATAAACCCAACAAAAATTTGAGATAATTGTATCAGTATCATGTATATTCATTTGTATTGTATGTTCATGTATCAAAATTTTTGTACAGGAAAAATTTCTGTTCTATCTAATAACTAAGGACATTGAGAAGAGTTGATCTAGTCTTCACCAGATGCCTAAACAATGATTCCAAAACTTCGTCGATTTCTTGAATTTCTGACTCTAAATTTACTAGTTGTGACATATCAACATTCATTTTCTTCACAAGAATAGCATCAACAGCATCAAAAGATGTTGCTGCTTCCGTCTCAGATTTTTGTCCAACAAGTTTAGAGAAAGACCAGCTACTTTTCTGTGATCCGCCGATGTAGGATAACATGGAGTTAAAGACTTCTACAGTCAATGCTTGCACATCCTTGAGCATGCTTTCGATGGCAATAGACTCGTTAGTTTTGTCAACTGCATTGATATCTTTCAAGCATTTCTTGATTGTCTTCTTGGATGACTTTCGTGTTTTAAGGTATGCGGCGACTTCCTTGGTAATGTCAAGTTCACCACTAGACCTTCTTCGAAGAACTGATTGAATGTCTTGGATGCTTTCCTTTGTCAAGGCCAAGACATCCCGAGATGTGGAGCAAATGTCAAGGAGTCTTAGAGATCCATCTAATACTTGTTGAGATTGAGATACGGTTTTCTGATTTTGGGGTAGTTGAAGGAACTCTTCAACACACTTGTATAAGTCGTTTAGACCGCTTAGTTTGCTTGAAAGGGATGAAGTAGAAGCAGCTTGAGATGATCTCAATCTGTTCAATTGTTGATCCAATTGCTCAGAAACGGGGTGAGAGTTTGAGGGGAAACTGAAAGATCGAGTGTGGTAAGAAGCCATTTTATGTTCTTTATACTTTGTTTTAAGGCTAAGAGTTGAAAGATAGAAGTTTTGATTTGATGACTTACTCATCTTCTTTGGCTCTATTTATACCAAAGCAATAGAAGACAAAAGGAATCAAAAAATAAATAACTCAGAGAAATAACATGTCTTTCCTTTGGATTGTTTAACATTGTCTCTTCTTTCGCCTACTAAAGAATCGATCGATGATTAAATAATTTGTTGATACCATATACTCCATTAAGGCGAATAAAAGAAATGAAGGATTTTCTGCTATACAACAACCAGACAATGTCTACAAGATAATGTCTTAGTTTAAAATAGCTCCTTACAAATGTTTGTTATATGTTTCTAATGTGATTTCTGTATCGTGTGCATACACTTATTACAACGAATATGATCATGAACCTTATTTTTTATAGTAATGCTCTGCTACAAAGTACAAAGTTTTGTACATGATCCTACTAATGCGCTATACACGAGTGGCAAAACAAGTACTCGTCTCTAGTATAATGTACTGCAGGAGTACTCTTCTTTAATGGTGCCTATTACATATATATGAACAACCTATATAAAATTATGTACTTATATTCACAAAATATTCAATGTTATATGCTGCTCCCTGTATGTGCATCATGATCCTAAGCAACTGCTACACACGAGTAGAAATGACACATTTTATCAGTTGGCTACTTAACAAATCACATATTCTGTTATTTTAATACATATGAATACAATCGCGAGGATAGGAACGTCAAAAACATTAATAAACAACAATGAAGTTGTGTACATGATCCAAATTTGTAGGTAAGTACCTGACTATATTGTCTATATACAACAAGAACCTGCATTTTTAATGACTGTCATACACGCCCTTATACAACAATATTATACTGATTTCTGAAGCTCCTGCAGACAATTGGAATCGTACAGCTAATTAGCAATTAATTCGCGATACAATTCAACGCTTCCCTGCACATGGAATCATTCTGATAATCAACCTTAGTTGAATTTTCATAATAATCTTAATGAAGAATTTACTTATGTTAACTTTTTTTTTTTCTTAAGAAAAGGCTTATCATTTCCTCTAATTTGTCTTAGAAAACAGAGAATTTCTTAAATTATCAACTAAAACAATATTTACTGTTTTTTGTTAACTGTAATAAATCATGTATGATGTCTCATACTATCAGTCATTTTTATTATTTTATTTTACCTTCATTTCAAATATTTAAGTGTCTTTAAGGCATGATTGAAAGTATGAACTTGAATAACAGTATAACACAGAAAAAATTCGAGATAATTGTATGTATAGTATATTCATTTGTACGTATATTCATGTATCAAAAAATATTTTGTACAGAGATAAATTTCTATTCTAATTGCTAAGGACATTGAGAAGAGTTGATCTGGTCTTCACCAAATGCCTAAACAATGATTCCAAAACTTCGTCGATTTCTTGAATTTCTGACTCTAATTTTACTAGTTGTGACATATCAACATTCACTTTCTTCACAAGAAGAGCATCAACAACATCAAAGGAAGTTGCTGCTTTCTTCTCAGATCTTTGGCTAAAGAAAGACCAGCTACTCTTCTGTGATCCGCCGACGTAAGACAACAAGGAGTTAAAGACTTCAGCAGTCAACGCTTGCACATCCTTGAGCATGCTCTCAATGGCAACGGGCTCAACTGCATTCATATCTTTCAAGCACTTCTTGATTGTCTTCTTGGATGCTCTTCTTGTTTTTAGGTATTCAGCAACTTCATTAGTAATGTCAAGTTCACCACTGCACCTTCTTCGAAGAACTGATTGAATGTCTTGGATACTTTCTTTTGTCATTGCCAAGACATCCCGAGATGTGGAGCAAATGTCAAGGTGTCTTAGAGATCCATCTAATACTTGTTGAGATTGAGATACGGTTTTCTGATTTTGGGGCAGTTGAAGAAACTCTTCAACGCACTTGTATAAATCATTAAGGCCGCTAAGCTTGCTTGTAAGGGATGAAGTAGAAGCAGCTTGAGATGATCTCAATCTGTTCAATTGTTGATCCAATTGTTCTGAAACGGGGTGAGAGTTTGAAGGGAAACTGAAAGATCGAGTATGGATGGAAGCCATTTTAGATATTCTTTTTTTAGTTTTGTTAAGAGGCTTAGAGTTGTAAGATAGAAATTTTGATTTGATGAATAACTCATTCTAAAGACTCTATTTATACCAAGGTAACAGAAGACATAAGGCATCAAAAAATTAAATGAAACTCTGTCTGATAACATGGTCTTCGTTGGGCTTGTTTCTCATTGTCTCTTCTTTCGCCAACTAATGAATCAATCGATGATTAAATAATTTGTTAACATTACACATCAATTAAGGCTAATTAAAGAAATGAAGGATTTTCTGATATACAACTACCAGACAATACCTGCAATAGCTTCTCTCCAATGTTTGTTCTGTGCTTAATAGCACCAAACTAAACAGCTAATGTGATTTCTGAATCTTGTGTAATTCCTTATTATAGTGAATATGATCTTTTGGTGATCTAAGTTCTTTATATATATATATATATATATATATATATATATATATATATATTCTGCTACAAAGTCTTGTATCATGATCCTAATAATGCGCTATGCACAAGTGGCTATGACAAGTACTCATCTCTAGTATATATATAATGTACTGCAGGAGTGCTCAATGATTTGCCATGATGCACACGAGTAGCGTTGAATTCAGGTGCTTAGTAGGAAATTACATATATATAATATATGATACAGGAATGAGGTAGAATAATCCTTGAAAGTAGTAGGCAATTTCCTGTAGCAGATAGACCATGCTATGTTCATCTAGACAAATCGAATCGTAACAGGATTAGTTATTGTGAATGCCATCATTTGTCCTAGTACACTCTGTAATGGAAAAAGACCGTCCTATTTTGTTCAATTTTTATCAAGAAAATACACAATATATAATCAGTCAAAATTTATCTTGGTCACATTGTGTTAAAGCTAACAGTCATTTCTTTCACAATTTGATGTAATTTAAAAACAGAATGACTTGAAACATAAACTAGAAAGTTTGGTGTAATCTGAACTCTCTCAGTTAATTTCCTTTGATTTGAAGTATTGACTAGTGTTACATATCTGGCATATTGTAATGTATGATGGTATGAATTCAAATAAGAATAAAATGGAACACAAATTGGATAAAATTCTATAATGTTTATTTGTGTATAGCTAGAATGTTTTTTCACCTATCAAAAATTTTGTAATGGAATAATTTTTGTACTAGTTACTAAGAACATTGAGGAGAGTTGCTCTGGTCCTAACCAGATGCCTATATAAGCATGTTAACACTTCATCGATTTCTTGAACTTCAGACTCTAATTTCACTATTTGTGACTTATCAACATTTACTTTCTTTTTTTGGCTAATCATCAGCTCTAGAGTAGCATCAACAACTTCAAATTCACTGATGGATGCTTCTGTTTCCTTCTCGGATCTTTGGATGACAAGTTTTGAGAAAGACCAGCTACCTTTCTGCGATCCACTGATGTAGGACAACAAGGACTTGAAAACATCAACTGTCAATGCTTGCACTTCTGTTAGCATGCTCTCAGTGGCATTCGTCTCATTAGTTCTGTCAACTTCCTTGATATCTTTCAAGCACTTCTTGATTATCTTTTTGGATGTCTTTCGTGTTTTAAGGTATTCAACGACTTCATTGCTAGTGTCAATTTCATCACTGCACCTTCTTCGTACCACTGATTGTATGTCTTGCAGGCGCTCCTTAGACTGTACTAGAGCATCTCGAGAGGTGGCACAGATGTCAAGTAGCCTTAAAGATCCATTTAACACCTCCTCAACCCAATTTTTGTTTTGAGTTTGGCATACTGTTTTCTGATTCAGAGGTAGTTGCAGAAATTGATCAGCACACTTGTATAAATCTTCAAGGCCTGTAAGTTTGCTGGTGACTGATGAAGTCGAGGCAGCTTGACATGACCTTAATCTGCACAATTGTTCTTCCAACTGATCAACAATTGGGTAAGAATTCGAGGGATAACTAGAAGAACGGATGTGGTGAGATACCATTTTCGTAGTTGCTTTCGATATTTGAAGGCCAAAGATGATGCAATATGTCCATGTAATCGCGAAATAAATACTTAAGTTGAGCAGAAGATATGAAGAATCTCACCTTCAACAACAACCAACAAAATTTATATCATGATCAAATGTTTGTGCTATGTTTTTTAACACCCAACTTACCAGCTAATGTGTAGTAGACATGCAGGGGACCTTAGATTTGGTACAAGCTACAAGTCTTGCTACAACGCTTTGTATCATGATCCACAAGTTGTGTACAATAAGTACAGGAAACAGTACAATCTGTTAAATCTGCAGGAATGCTGAATGGCTTCACAATGATCCTCGTGTGATGTCGAAATCAGTGATTATAAGTGAACAGCACACATGAATTAGTTGCATTTTAAGTCCTGTTAAAAGGGATATATTAAAAGCATGTGAATTAGTTTGTCTTTAGTATGTCCAAATAAGTTGTCAAATGAATAAATTTGTATCAAGCATTCAAGCTCCTGCATGTATGTCTACCAAGTTTTACCTTCTTTGCATATGTGGAGATGTGGAGTGTGTACTGGTTGTTTAGTAGCTGAAATTTTATTTAGTAAGTAATTGAATACTATAAAAATTAAGATGTCAAGATGGATTGATATTAAATCTTTAAACTCCTTATTCTCAATTTAAATCTTTATAGTCTCTTCAATTTTATTAAAGGTGCATGCCATATTATGTTATTATTCTAAGTTTATAACAATTTCATGCACCAGTTCAAACATCACAAAGCCATTGTGCGGTTTCCAATTTCAAAACCACCTAATCATAAGTCCGAAAAGTCTGAAAATTCACACTTATAGAAGATGTGTCCGAATAATTAAAAACTTAGATTATAGCAATCATAAAAGCAAACTTTGAATCTTGTTTGAGGACAAAATTCCCAAATTAGTTTGATCCTTCTTTATTTGGTAATTAGTTTAACGATTCAATATAATTCTATAATCCAGTCCATAAAAAATTAGGACGGAGTAATTTAGTGAAATTTTTTCTGTGGAGGCGGATGCACCATGCTTGGTGCATCCAGTGTTCTTTAAAAAAAGGCGGAATGAACATTTAGCTATTCAGTAAAAAACATATAGTTGTTTTGTAAAGAACATATAGCTATTTTATAAAGAACATCCAGTTTTATATGTTTTTTTGTAAATTTAAAGAACATTTGTAATATTAGTAAAGAACATGATAATATTAAAGAACATTATTTATATAGTAAATGTACATTTGGTAATGATCATGTATGTATATGAAAATGTACATTTTACTGTATTATAATGTACATTGTATTATATTCTAATGAACATATATGTTATAATGTTGGTTACATATTTTATGTACATTGTATTATTTGCATCATATAAGTATATGAAAAAGAACATTTTACTGTATTTTAATGTAATACCCGTATATTTTATAATTTTACAAATTATAAAATTAGAGTTGTATACTTTAAATTTTATTTTCTTATCTTATTTGATAGTATTTATATCCTTTAACCCTACCCAGCACTAGAAAGAGAAATAGGAGCATCCAATGAACACCGGGTTATAATAATTAAAAAAAAAAAAAAAAAAAAAAAAAAGAGCCGTGTATTCTTTCCTTTGGCTGTTTAATATGATGATGATAATAATTTATATCATTATGGTGAGATCAATAGAAAAGCTACACAAATTGCAACGTTACTTTATATAATTTGCCTTGAATATTGTCATTCTGTTGTACTTTGTCGAAGGTAATCACACAAACTTCATGTTTAATTATTATTTATTATATGTAATCACACAGATTTATTTTAGAATTGTTTGTATAATTATTACTTTATATTATTATTGTATAATTGGATATTCATATGCTTGAGTGTATGTATATATGATTGATATGTATATAATTTTATGATATGATCTGATTTAATTGTCTTGCTATTATTGTTATATTGATTGATTGTGTTATTTTTCTAGGGTTTTTAATGTTGTTTCTATAGGGAGTATTGTTTTATCGAGGTTTTAGGGTTGTTGATGCAGAGTATTATTTTTTGGTTGAGAATTAATTAATTTTGGGTACTAGTATTAGCCCTATAAGAGTGGAGATATTTATGAATCGAATTGTTATATTATTTGGGAACATGTGCCATTGTTGAGATATTGTCTATTAGTTTTTGAATGATTATTTGATCGATGTATGAGATCAAAAGGTTGAGAATTATATTTTGTTCTTGGGTTGAGGCTCGGAGTTATATACCTTAGTCCTTGGCATGTTGGTAAGAGGATAATAATCATGAGTTAAGAATGAGGTACAATCTTTATTATTTATTTTTCTATGGTCCCCTACAGTGGGAATTGGCCCGTATGTGGTCTGGTTCAAGGTGTTTTTCTGGTTATTGAGAGTATTCAAGTTTTTATACTTGTTGGTTTGTTATTCGAATTACTCATGTCCAAGGCTAGGTATAGAACAACGAGCATGGCACACTTATTGGGTATGATCAGTTAATTGAGTAAAAGGTTCGTATTATTATTCGAGGTTGAGTCGATAAAGGTTATTTTTCAGAGTACAATGTGTAATGTAGTTTTAAACTACATTATTTAATTGAGCTAGTGTTGTCAATCATTCTATTATACTATATATTCTGATATGTGATGATTACTCAGCTTTTTGCTGACGTGTGTGTTGTTTTGCTATCCTATTTGTGTTTGCGGCCATGTCTTTTTCTTATGGTGGCCCTGCGACGATCTATTTTGGAATTTGTCCTTGATGGTGAGCAGTCAAGATTGTTTAAGCAGGTTGATCAAGTGATCGTAGCTAAAGGAGCTCAAGTGTTTCGATTAGTGTTTCTTTTATATCGAGTTTGTAAAGTTGTATAAATAGCTCACCTAGATTTGTTGGGATGTAATTATTGGGATTTTGTAAGCCTTAGCACTTGACATGTTGTCGAGTGTGGCGGTAATACCTCCGATTTAAGTGTATGTTTCCGCAGTTTTATTCAAAGGTTATTTATTTTCCTTTAATTTATTGTTTATTATTAGCTAGTAAATTGGGGGTGTTACATTTAATGTACATTGTATTATTTGGATCTACAACTTTTTCTAAATTTGTCTATTTGTATTAAGCGGTTGATCTTTTTCAAGAATTTCATTTTATTTCTCATTGCAACAACAAAATTATATCAAAATCGCAATTAATTTTCAATCAAATCAAATATTACAATTTTCAATCAAATTTATAAAAAACAAACACTCAAACTCAAAATAAACAAGTATGAATGTCAAATAAACAAGTATAAATGTCGAATTTGGTCTTACCTTTCGTTTTTATTTGTCATCTTGAACAATCTTGGGCTCAAAATTTCGAATTTCTTGAAATTTTGTTTGAGGTTTGAAGAATTTAAATGGGTACAACATTTGAAGTTTTGTTTGGAGAGAGAAAGTGAACTTTTGGTTAAAAAAAAAAATATTTGAAATGATTTGTAATTAATGTATGGTAAAAAAATTAATTATAGTACTATTTATCTATTTCATTATACAAAATTTCTTTTAAAAAAAATATATATATAAAATTGTTGCATAAAAAACTGATGTACATTACAAATGAACACTATGTTCTTTTATGTATATGTCCATGTACATTAAAAATGACTACTATGTTCTTTTATATGACCATGTTTATTAGAATATATCTTAATGTTCATTCCGCCTTTTTGTATTTTGGAGCGGATGCACCATGTGGATCGTGCATCCGCCTCCACGAACCAACTATTAGTAATTTAGGGTCTTAGCTGCTAGAATTATTCCGTATAGTTTAGTTGATTCTTGATGGTGGTTAAACTAAAAGTGTAACTTTTGCGTCAATAATAATAGGTAAAAGTGTAAAACCCCTATTTAAAGTAGCAGTTTTCCGGTAAACTAAAACTAAACTTAAATAAACTTGTTTATCACAAAGGTTAAACTAAAACTATTTTCGGATTTTTCACCAAATACCACTGAGTTTAAGCTTAATTCACCGTATACCACCAAAAACTTTCTAATACACCATATAACCTTCAGTTTTATGGAAATTTCACAACATGCCATTAATGACCAACGGAGGTTATCACCGTTAGTCATTAAGGTTAATAATGCCACGTGACACTCAATAATTGGTCCAAATAAAAAAAGTTAAAACAAAAACAAAAATATGTAAAAAAAAAATTGAAAAAAACCCACCACCCACCACCCACCCCCAAGCCACCGCGAAACCCTAACCCTTACCCTAGGCTCACCTTAAACTGGCCGGTTGCCACCCTAAACCCTCGAAATCGGCCGGCCGGAACCCCCCAATACAAACAACCACCCCGCCGATCTAAGTACAACTTCAAAATCACCCCTTGACCCAAATCCTACCCCCGAAACCACCATAACCACCACCCTTAAAACACCAGCCAGCCTCGAAAAACCCCTCTAACCTTCGCAAATCACCGAAAACCTCCATCCCGGCCTCGATTAACCCCTCTAACCTTCGCAAAACGGCCGAAAACCTCCATCCCATCCCCGATTAACCCCTCTAACCTTCACCACGAAACTTGCCGAAAACCACCACCACGAAACCCCAAAACACCAAAATCGAAACCCTAGATTTTGGTTTTAGGGTTTCGGCATACGTGGTGGTTCAATGGGGTGGAGATGGCATCGGGATAAGGCGAATTCGTTCGCCGACGCGGGGGAGGCGGGTTTCGACGTCGGCCGGTGTTTAGGGGACGGTTTTTCGAGTGCGGTAGTGGGTTTTTGAGGTGATTCAATGGGGTTTTCGAGGGAGGCACGACAGTTCAGGGGAAGAGGAGGAGCGCCGGCGGAGGTCCTGGTCGGATTCCGCACCGGCGAGGGGGTTCGTTGGTGGTGGCTGACAGGGGGGTGTCGTTGGTGGTGGCTCGCTGGGGGAACGTTGGTGGTGGTAGGTTTTTTTTTCTTTTTTTTTATTTTTTCAATAATTAATTAAATAATTATTTAAAATTAAATTATTTAGAAGGGAACAAATCACAAGCTGCCACATGGCATTATTAACCTTAATGACTAACGGTGTTAACCTCCGTTAGTCATTAATGGCATGTTGTGACATTTCCATAAAACTGAAGGTTATATGGTGTATTACAAAGTTTTTGGTGGTATACGATGAATTAAGCTTAAATTCAGTGGTATTTGGTGAAAAATCCGAATTATTTTTTACCCTTTGACTGTTTTGGACTATAAACCCAAAAAGTCAAAATCGTAGGGTTTTTGACATTTTTATCACCTTCAATACATCACTCTCTCTCCTACCTCTTCACTGCAGACAACAATGGAGTCGCACAAAGATGAACCCAATACTAAATTACTTGAAGAAATCGACGCTTTAAAAGCTCAAAAAAGCGACATTGAAGCTCGAATTTCATCCCTAGAATCTCAGCTTCGAGATTCTTCGATTTCCGAACAATCCCCATGTAACCGTTCCTGCCCTTCAATCTCCACCGTTGATTCCAGCCGCAACCGCCATGGATTACCGTCCGATGCTATTTACCGTTATAGTCGTCATCTTTTGCTCCCCTCTTTCGGCGTTCAAGGTTTCCCCTTTTCTTTTTAATCTATGATTCATTTTTCATGATTTTTCTGATGTTTGTTGTTTCTTTCATTAATTTTTATTTTTTTATATTGTTTAATTTAGTGTTCATGTAATTTTGACTTTTCGAGTAGCTAAAATTGTGCAAATTTACTAAATTTAGCAGATATCTTTCATTTTTTGAGTAATGTTATTGAATTGTGGGTTTTTTGTTTTTTTTGTTTAATTAAAGTTTATTAATTCTTCAATTGGAGTAGAATATTGCAAGGAAATTAGCATTGCTTTAATTGTTGCATTGTTGGATTTCAATGCTTAATATAGATTTTGGATCAAAATTGAGGCAATGGGATCAAATTTTGGGTTATTCAAAGTATTTAAATCACAGCATAGTATATACTCAATTGCTCACCATGTTTGTTAAATATTTTAAAAGGGTTCATGTTGCTTTTGTGTGTTTATGGAGACTTCGTATGGCGTTTAATCATGTAAGAACTTGTTGAAATTGGTGTAAAGATGATTGTTTGACATAGCATTGTTGGGCTATTCTTTTGTTTATGCATAATATCAAAAGGTTTAAGAGGTTTCTTTTGATTTACTGTTTGATTGTTATAGGGCAGTCAAATCTGTTGAAGTCATCGGTCCTAGTTGTGGGAGCTGGAGGCTTGGGATCACCAGCTCTTTTGTATCTTGCAGCTTGTGGAGTCGGTAAGACGTCATTTTGTTGTGATGTTATACCTAGCGGGCAATTATTTGCACCTAGCAATCCACATTCTATCCTACTTAAGATACATTTGTCAGTTATGTAATGCTACGTATGATTAAACTTACTGAAGAAACTGAACTTCATCAAATCTAAAATATTTTCGGGTTGTCTTTCAGGTCGAATTGGTATTGTTGATCATGATGTAGTGGAGCTTAATAATATGCATAGGCAGGTGTGCTCCTTAAACTGTTCTGTTCTTATCACATTGTTAATTGCTTACTGTTGTATTATAAATTAAAATTTTTCCAACTTAAATCTCCTTTTAATATGGTCTGGACGTTAGGTTATCCATACTGAGGCCTACATCGGCAAGTCCAAAGTAGAATCTGCTGCTGCTGCCTGTCGCTCGTGCGTAATTCTCTACTTGTATCCTTATGCCTGATTACCACATTAAAAATAATAATACAAACATAAAAAAAAAATATAATAATAAAATTAAATTAAAAAAATAAGCATTTTTTTTTTATTAGGCTTGATGTTGATGTTTGTTTCAGGATCAACTCCACAATTGAGATTGTTGAATATAGGGAAGCATTACGAATATCAAATGCTTTGGAGATCTTTAGCAAGTACTTTTCCCAAATTCTTTTATACTCGTGTATTATTCTTCATTTAAGTAATTATCTCTCAACTTGTTTGTGACTTGATAATTCTTCACTGATGGCATTTTGCAGGTATGATTTAATAATTGATGCCACAGACAATGTCCCAAGTCGCTACATGATCAATGATTGTTGTATTGTGTTGAAAAAGGTAATGGGTTATTTTAAAGCCCTGATAATTACTTGGAGTTACTTTATCAGGTGTTTGATTTGTTAAAACCACTGTTTTAATAGAATATTGTCAGGGAAGTATAATTTATTATGTTTCTCTAGAAAAATAGATGATTTATATGGAAATTCAATAATCCGTTGACAACTTGCTGTGAGTAATAATAACAGTGTGAAGGTTTAAACTAATGTTATTAAGAAAAGGTAACGAATGTGATGGTTGATACACCTAGTCATATGTTCTTTCATGTGTGCTCACTGTGCAGTAGGATCATGTAGATTTTCAGTATTATTCACCATAGAGTCATGTGTAATATGCATGTCATTTTGTCTCCTAGGTTATGCAATATTAGTCCATTTCTCACATCTTTAAATTCTTATTCTGCAGCCTCTTGTATCAGGTGCTGCTCTAGGATTTGAAGGACAGGTATATCCTGTGTAATTGTCATATACTCCGTAGTTTTTTACTTATATTTTTGGCTTAAGATATCATGTTCTATAAATCTTAAGCTGGCTATGTATGAACTGATCACAATGTATTCACAGCTTACCATTTACAACTACAAAGGTGGCCCATGTTATAGATGCCTATTTCCAGCTCCACCACCCATGACAGCATGTCAAAGATGTTCGGACAGTGGTGTCCTTGGAGTAGGTGAGTTGCTGAAGACATAGTACTCACATATACTTATACAGCCTGCATATCATGCTTGTCTCAAACTCAATGATTACATTTTGTATGGTGCTTCTACAGCTTGTGGTTTTGGATTCCATTTGTAGTAATGTGGTTATAAAGCATTAAACAGTGTGTAGAAATTGGGTTTGAGGCAATGGTCCTGGCATTGCATACACTTAAATATGTTATTTCAACTCACCAGAGTTGCTGTCTGCATAATCAAGTTTGAGTCTTGCTATTTTTGCTAGTTGCTGATTTTTTATGCTCTTTTTTAGAACTTCTTCAGCTGCCTAATTCAGTGTCTTGTGAATTACTTTTGGTTTTTATCACCTTCTATTTTTGCATTACAACTGCTTATTATTTTCTCTAACTTATGCTTTGCAGTTCCTGGAGTCATTGGAACTTTACAAGCCCTAGAGGCTATAAAAATTGCTAGTGATGTTGGTGAGCCACTTTCAGGACGGATGCTTATATTTGATGCATTGTCTGGAAGGATTCGTGTGGTATGATTCAAATTCCCATTCCTGATGTTTGGCCTTGTCAAACAATGCCTTTCCAATCTCCTTTTCAAATTGTGCCTCTTCTATTTTACAGTAGTTTCAACTAATCAATCAAAGCCTTAATCCCATAAGTGGAGTCGGCTACATGAACCAAAAGTGATTATTCCGTCTAGTCATTGACCTATTTTACATTAGTTTAAATAGTAATATTGTCATTACTATCTGTATTTTGTTTGATGTGTTTTAAGCTGGTGAGCAATATGGATAACTCTAAATGTGCTCTGAAAACCCACAAAATACTTCTCCTTTACATCAAAGCTCTTTGTTGAATTATGTGATGATCAATGGATCAGATAAGCAACTAAAAGTCTTATTGACTTGTGCCTGCACAGTCAGTCTTAGTGCTTTAATGTGAATCAAAAGACTCAAGAGAACAATGAGTGTTGGGCATTGCTGATATGTCCTTGTGGAATAAATTCGGTATTTGATTCAAGCTTTACTTCCTAAAGATTTTATCAATATCAACCTTCTTTTAAAATCTATTGAACTGAAAAAAGTACTACGCATTTATTTTCTACTTCTATTTTCTAATTTATATTGGGTTTTGCTGACAACTCATTCGTGCTTGCGGATTGCTAATGTTAAATTTTCTCATTGTTAAGGTCAAAATACGGGGACAGTCACCACAATGTGAAGCCTGTGGAGAAAAATCTGCATTTACTCCTGAACATTTTAGAGAATTTGACTACGAGAAGTTCACCCATTCTTCCCTGTCAACAGTAAGACTTTATTTTCTTTTGTTTTATATTAAGCTTGACGTTCTCTAATGTTATTATCATTTATGACCTCCCAATGCTGGTAATTATAGGATCAAAATTATTCCTGCAAGTGTAGTGTATACACAGTCAAATTCTATTGAATGAATTGTTTGTTCTGGTCTCAGATTTCTCCTATTTAATCATATTGAAATATCGCTGGATATGATAGTGTTGTCCTATCTTCAACGGTTTTTGTTGGGACTTTTAGAAAGATGCCTATGCTTTGATAAACCTGGATTCCCATGCATGTCTGTTTTAGACTCTTAGGGTATATGCTTTACTCTAAATTTTGCACCAAAACAAATGCTATACTTTAAAATGATTACTTGGTGTATGATGATGATTTGTTATGTTCAGCATAATCTTTCTAAAATTTAGCAGTCCCCGCAATAAAAGGTGGTAATATTCTTGGCAAGCTGAAGCATTTTAAGTATTCCCCACAATAAAAGGTACTCTTGGCAAGCTGAAGCACTTTATATCAACACACCCTTCCTGTGTGAGTTGTGGCCATTAATTATTGTACATAGAGCTTTATTATGAATTTTGATGACAGAAGAACTGCCTAAGATTTTAGAAAGTTGTTGGTTGTATGAATGATTCATAGACTAGGTCGACTAACCATTAATAATTTCTTCTAGGCCACAGAATTAAACAAAAGATATATTTAAATGAACTCTCTGCCTTCATGATCATGATAGCTAAGGAATTATCTTGTAATGCATGAGACTCGACTACATGCTGTAATTTGTTCAGGTTTCTGCAATTCGTTTTAAATGTGTTTTAAACGGCTGATTTCCCGATTATCTTATCTGGGTGCAGGCTCCTCCAAAGTTGAACCTCGTACCTGCAGATTCAAGAATTAGCTGCAAGGAGTACAATGAGAAGGTTGTCAATGGAGAAGCACATATTTTGGTCGATGTTCGACCTGCTCATCATTTTGACATAATCTCACTTCCCAATTCTCTTAATCTCCCACTTTCAAGTTTGGAGTCCCGATTACCAGAAATCTCTGCCGCTTTGAAGGAAGAGGAAACACGTAAAGGTGTTTCCGGTGCTCATCTGTATACAGTTTGCAGAAGAGGCAATGATTCTCAGAGAGCTGTCCAATTACTACACAGTAATGGCTTCACCTCAGCCAAGGATATTGTCGGGGGACTGACATCTTGGCAAAATGAAGTTGATCCTAATTTCCCTGCCTACTAATAACAATTACACAAAAATTATAAATCTTGCTTTTCGCTTTTTAGATTAGAAATTTTTTTGGCTTGGTTTTAATCCTTGAAAATTTAATTTTCCCATTGCCTCTCTCAAGTTCACATTGTATGACAGTGAAAAACTTTTATAGCTATGTTGAGCAACTACACTACTGTAACAAATTACTTTCTTCTCTTTTTTTTAGGAATACTGTAACAAATTACTTCATGTTTTCTGATAATTTTTATAAGCCTATACAGGCGATACAGCAATACTATGAACATTTGAATCTTTACTTGGGCCATGTTTCCAAAAACTTGATCTAAATTGTTCTGAATCGTAACCCAAAACTGATTATTTGCATGAAATATGATTTCCAAAACTGCCGTCATTTTGACAGGCATCTTGAAGATCTAGCTGAGTAGCTGGTTAAGCGCACGAGACAAAATTACCCAAAAAAAAAAAAAAACTTTCATAAGTTGTCAAAACTTCTGATAACTTCAAAGTTCAAACACATCCTCAAAAAACACATCATCATAGAGCCCTCAACCCCTCATCTTGCTCCTACTCAACCATACTTCAGTTCCCTAGCAAATCAATAATACTCTAATCTATTGACTACCATCCAAGAAGTAAAAGCTTCAACAAAGCCATACGGATATAAAGACCATTCTTTGCTTGTCTGAAGTAGGCTGCCCTTGGATCTTCATCCACATCTACAGTTATCTGTAAAGGCCAAAATGAACCATCAACCAAGAGAAGCAATTTCTATCCAATAAATTTCTCTAAACGTGGAAAATAGGGAATGAGAAGAGGGACATAGAGTAATGATCTAATGTGGAAGGAAGGACCACAGTACATGCATCACTTTCACTAGTAAGGGTTCAGACAAATACCTCGTCAAGACGTGGAAGAGGGTGCATGACTACAGCGTGCTTCTGCATCACATTCAACACATTTTTATTAACTATGTATTTTCCTCTTGCTTCTTCATAAAGATCAATCCTTTCCCCAAAACGCTCTCGCTGAATACGAGTCTGATAAACTACATCACATTTGGAAGCTACTTCCATCAAGTCAACACTTTCTTCCCATTGAATGTTCTTTGAGGTCAGATACTCCTTAATGTCATCCTGAAGTTGCAATATATTGCAATTTAGTATTCTAGAATTACTGCATTCTAGATTTCCATATTTGAATATTTTTCTAGCAAGATAAATTAAATGACCTTACATAAAATATTCACCATAGACATACCTTCATTTTCACCACATCTGGTGCCACAAAGTATATTTTTACATCATTATACTTGGCAAGCAAATATGCCAGAGAACGAACAGTCCTTCCATAAGCAAGATCACCAACCAATGCAACACTAATGCCATCTAGCTTTCCCACCTCTCTTTGAATGGTGTATACATCTAAAAGAGCCTACATTCACATAAAAGAGCAGGTCAGGATTAACAACAATAATGCTTGCGACATATAGCATCAGAATCAATACAGGCCACATCTTTGTATTGACTAAATTACAATCATCATACAATTCTACTTTTTTGTTGATATGTAAGGTAAGGGCCAACCCAAGATAGTTGGAGAGGGGGAGACAAAGATGACACGATGATTTATTTCAGTCCTCAAGCCAGGAAACCAGAAAAGTTGGGGAAACTGCTGACTTTTTTTACTTACTAAACAGTTCATATTGCAAAAGGAAACAGACGAGCCTGACTTTTTCCTAAGCAAAGTATGTCAAAATAAATATAAACCTATCTTCTTCTACTATATCATTGAGGGCAATATGATCAAGAATTGATTACAAATGAATTTATGTGAGGATTCTATAATGAGCAGTGGCTTGAACAGATTAAGTAATTCTGTGAAGTATCATCATCAAAGATCACAGAGCATGACTGGTATATACATTATGCATTTATCAATGAAAAAGTTGAGTTCTTACAATCAAAATGTCAAACTTTGGGGTGTTTGGTTAAGAGCTTTTTGAAGCAAAAAGAGATGTTTGACCAAAGCTCTTTGGGGTGTTTGGTTAGGAGCTGTTTGAAATATTAAAATCACGTGAAGCGCTTTTTGAAAGAGCTTCTAGCTTTTTGTTGTTTTATACGAGTACTCTTAAACAGCCAATAACTTATAGCTATATACCAAACACTTACACACAAAACAGCTAATTACAATCAGTTAGTCAAAACAGCTAATACAAACAGCTAACGGCCGGTCAAAGCAACAAACATCTAATTGCCAAACAGGCCCTCTGTGCGATCTATGATGAAAAGACATTGTCATAAAGGCGCACAAACACACCAACACATACGCATAGCCACAAATGTAGTTTAGCAATTAGCTCTCATCAATTAACAACCAAACCTAAAGCCACAAAAGTGGGTTATATTTCTGTCTCACTACATACCATAGAAATCATGGCTAACCCAAAGGATGCATTTCCTTTAAACTATGACCTAAAAACATCCTCTTATAATTTAAAATAGCCAATGTCTTATTAGCACCTCAATAATGTAGGGTCCAAGAAATTTTTATCAACTAACATCATTAACCTCCAAAACATGTTATTAAATGAGCAGCAACTTCATTGAAAATCAGTCAGTGCTGATTAAAAGGTTACAATCAAGATAAAATAAGACTTAACCTGAGTTGGATGCTGCCCTGGACCATCTCCTGCATTTATGATGGGAATTCCTGCAGTTGTAGCTGCCCTTCTAGCAGCACCACTTTCAAAGTGCCTCATCACAATGATATCCGCATATCCTTCAACTGTTCTAATAGTATCTGCATAAGAAGGCAACACATTACAACCAAAACAACATCAGAGGACTGCCAATAACAATCATGTAAAAACTAGTAAGACCTACCCTCTAGTGTCTCTCCTTTGGCAGCTGATGAAAACTCTCTAGCATTCTCAGTTGTCAAAACTTCACCACCTAACCGCTTCATTGCAGATTCAAACGAAAGCCTGGTTCTAGTAGAAGGCTCGTAAAACAAAGTAGCCATTAAGTATCCCTTCAAAATCTGGCTCCCAGGTGAGTTTTTTTCTACCTTCTCCATCTCCCTCGCCACCTCAAAAATTGCACTAAGAGTCTCTCTATCAAACTGCTGAGCGTCAAGCACATCATCAAGTTGAAATTTCTGACCTACTGAGAATAAACTTGTATTCCTAACACTAGCTACATGGCAAGGAACTCCAAGCCTCATCGGAACTTCCCCATTCGACTCCCATTTTAATGATTTCGCCCCAAACGAGCCCCTTACCGGGGTGAAGTCAGCAGACGAGCAATTTGGCATGCAATTAACCACCCTTTTCCCGAATAATTCCGGGCAGCCACTCATAATAACCTTTTGAGATTTACTCACATTGCAAATGCCAACCGCCCCATTCGATGCACACATGCTCAATGAGGATGAAGAGGCCATTGCAATTATGAAAACTACCTAAAGATTATGCTAAAACCCCTGAAATATGTCACAAAACAAGTTGCCATATCATGAAATACACAAACTAGTAAAGATAAATTCTTGCAACAATTAACCACAAAAACAGAAGAAATTAAACAAATTGTATCACGCAATTAAGCACAAAAGCAGAAGAAATTAAAAAATCCTAATTGAGAATTTAATACTCACATTCGCACAAATTTTATTCCAAAATCAAATTCATATAGAACCTCAAATTGTTCTAGCTATGTACGTAATTGAAATTACAGATTCAAAGATACACAACAATTCCACAAAATAAATGAAAACCCACCAAAATTATACCCAGAAATAATTCAAAAAAATAGTATAAACTAAAATAATTAAAAAAGAAAAGAAAAGAAAAAAGAAAAAAGAAAAAAAGAGAGATAGAAAGCATTGAGATACCTGAAAGGCCGAATAAAACGGCGTCGTTTTGGTGGAAGAACAGCGAGATACAGAGGAAGATGAGAGTGTGAGGGATGACTGAAGAGAGTATAGGAGTGCTTGGAGCCTGTGACTGTGTGAGTGAACGGTGAAGAGGGATTTTGGGTGTCTTTTTTGGGTTTTTGGCACTATTTTTTATTCTTCCTAGTGAGATTGGTCGATTTCCATTGGGAATCTCGTATGTCGTGCTTGCGTGTCTAGAGTTGGCTAAGTTCGGTTCATAATAGTATGACATAACTCGCTAATAAAGAATCTTGTATGTCGAGCTAGCTTGTCTAGAGTCGGCTAGGCTCAGTCCATGATATTATGACAGGACTCACTAATAAGATCTCAACCGTGTCGTATGACTACCTTTTATAGGGTTGGTTGGATAATACGACTCCAAAGTCTTTTATTGTATTCGTGCTTTCCTAGTGTATATGTTAAGTTCATTTATTTTAACGTGTTTTGTTATAATAGCCTCTAATGAGTTGTATGTAATTTTTCCAACAGAAATGTGGTCCCAGTATGCATATTAACGTGTTTGTTGTGCTTTTTTCATGATGCATTGTGTCGTTCTTAGCCTAACGCATTATCCTCTATTGTCTAATATTTTGTTGGTGTGATAGTATTATGTAGGTGAGGTAATTCTCGCATTAGTCACAAAGTTTTGAAATCTAGAACAAAATTTTCATTATAGCACGGCCAAAAATAAGTTTTAATAATAAATTTGTGTCTATTATGTCCTATTATAGTACAATGTTTTTTTTTTTTTACTCTGTAGCTTTCTCTCGTAATAATATAAATTTATTATTTATATTCCCTAAGCTAAAAGTTTGTAAATTATAACTTATCAAAAATCACAGCTCGAATTAATAAAAAATAGTTTGTGAATGATGTGAAATTCATAACGAATAACAACACAAGAGAGAAAGATTATGTGCAAGTGCAACACTACCTAAAGATAAATCATGTAATACTAGCTTTACATCTTTGATAATTAGGAAAAAAAACGAATACAAAGATAGAATGTGAGAATGATCAATAATTACCTTCTAAGTACAAGATTTCAAAATAGAGTGACCGACATATATGATATATATATAGCCATATAAATGATTTAATAAAAAGCTAAAGCCGGTTACAATTTTAATTTCATCATTCAAAATCTTGTGAATAGCTGTAAATAATCAACTATTACACTAAAACAAACTAAATTGCTCCAACTATGAGCTATGCCCATGAAACAAACACTAATAACTTAACTAAAAATAAGAAACATGACATGACTACTAATCCAAGATATTAATACTTGAAATGACTATCCAAAGAATTAAAAGATGAAAATTTTGAAGGAACATGCAAATGGAATAGTCTTAGTTTGCATGT